AAATGTTTGATTCAATTATTTAAAATGTAGTCAGTTGTTTTATAAAAATGCTTCAGTTTCTGGTGGTGGACAATGAACTGCTGGTCAAGTATAGGGCMATAAGATGCTCAAATAGTGATCTGATCTGATCTGATAGCCACACCCACCAAAAATGATGAGGAAGCTTTTCCAAGATGGAGTTGGTCTGCTTCCATCACGGGTGTCTGGTGAGGTGGTGTGTTGTTGGCGATGGCCTTGTGCTGTGAATAGGCAGCATCTGAGTGACATGTATGGGAACAGAGCCCCAAACTGAATGTTTTTAAATAATCAAAACCAATTTTCAATCTAAACTGGTTTTCTTTCTTCTTTTTTTTTCAGTATCTTATATATTCTGGATTTTAATTCCTTGTCAGTATAATAATTTCCAAATGTTTTCTCCCCTTCTCCTCTCCTGATTGTGTTCTCTGCTGCAAAGAAGCTTCTTGGTTTTAATTTCGTTTCACTGTCTATGCTTTTCGGTTATTACTCAAAAAAAAAAATCATTGCCTATACTTATGTTCTGAAATGTTTKCCCTGTGTTTTATTTTAGTAGTTTCATGGTTTCAGGTCTTATATTTAGGTCTTTGATTCATTTTGAGGTTATTTTTATATGATGCGATAGGGTCAAGTTTCATCGTTGCCTATCACTATCCAATTTTCCCAGTACCACTTATTGAAGAGGCTGTCCTCTCTGCCATGTATGTTTTTGGTTTCTTTGCTGAGAATGGCTGTTGATGTGTGGATTTATTCCTGATGTCTATTGTGTTTCACTGGTCTTGTTTCACTTTTTATTCCAATACCATGATGTCTTSGTTACTATCATCCTTTAGTATATCCTAACATTGGATATTGTTCTTCTGCTTTGTTCTCTTTGCTCAAGATTACTTTGGCTGTTTGGGGTCCTTTGTACTACCACACGAATTTTAGGATTTTTTTTCTAGTTTTATGGAAAATGTAATTGATATTTTGGTGTGGATTCTACTGAACCTGTAAATAACTTTGTGTAATGTGAATTTTTTTAACAACCCTAATTCTTCTGATCCATATTCATAGGTCACATTTTTTCATGTACTTTCTTTGTTGAATATTTTTTAGTTGTAGATAGACACAATATATTTATTTTTATTTATTTATTTTTATGTGGTGCTGGGGATCAAACCCAGGGTCTCATGCATGAGAGGCAAGCACTCTACCACTGAGCTACAACCCCAGCCCTCACATACTTTCTTCAACTTTTTTCATTGGTGTTTTGTAATTCATYATAGAGGTAATTCATTTTTCTTCATTTTTCTTCTTCTATTTTTTKTTCTCCTGCTTTCCCYTGTTACTGGGAATTGAACCCAGGGGTACTTTGCCACTGAGCTACATTTCCAGCCCACTTTTATTTTTTATTTGAGTCAGGGTCTCATGAAGTTGCTATCATCCTGGTCAGCCTCCTAAATCACTGGGTTTACAGGCATGCAACACCATGTCCAGTTGTCATTCACTTCTTTAAGTTTATTCCTAGGTACTTTTTTTTACAACTATTGTGAGTAAATTTTTTGTGATTTCTTTCTCAGCAAGTTCATTATTGGTGTTCAAAATGTAATTGATTTTTGTGTGTCAATTCATATCCTGAAACTTTGCTGACTTACTTTATCACTTCTAACAGTATTTGAAGGAGTGTGTAGGTTTCTTTATACATACAATTATGTTGTCTGTGAACAAAATCAAATTGACTTTGTCCCTGCTTATTTGTAGGCTTCTTATTTGCTTCTCTTGCCTAATTGTTCTAGGTAAGACTTCAAGTACTATATTAAATAGAAATTATAAAAGTGGTTATCTCTGTCTTGTTACAGATATAGAGAAAATGATCTCAGCTTTTCCTTTATTTGGTGTGCTGCTGGCTGTGGTATTGTTGTTCATATTCTTTGCTATGTTCCAGTATGCTTCTTATATACCTGAATTGTTCAGAATTTTTTGTTACAAAGATATATTGAATTTTATCAAATAATTTTTATGCTTCTAAGAGATAATCATCTGACTTTTGTCCTTCGTTCTGCTGGTGTGATATGTATTGTGTTTATTGTTTGATTTTTCTATGTTGAACCATTCATACATCTCCAGGACAAATCCTGCTTGATTGTGGTGAATGATCTTTTTAATATCCTGTTGGATTCTTTTGCTAGTAGTATTTTGTTGATCATTTTTGCATATTCATCACAGATACTATTCAATAGCTTTCTTTTTGTTTTTGTGTCCCAATTTTAATAACAAGGTAATTCTGGCCTCATACAATGAATTTGGAAGAGCACTTTGCCTTTCAGTTATTTATAATAATTTGAGAAGAACTGGTACTTGTTCTTAAAGTTTAGTTGAATCTGCAGTGAAGCCATATGGTCCTGGACTTCTCTTCTTTTTTCTTTTTTTTTTGTAAATATTTTTTAGTTGTAGTTGAACACAATACCTCCATTTTGTTTATTTATTTTTATGTTGTGCTGAGGATCACACCCAGTGCCTCACACATGCCAGGCAAGTGCTCTGCCACTGAGCCACAGCCCCAGATCCCTGGACTTTTTTTCGATTCGAAACTTTTTATTATTGATTCAATACCATTGTTATTGGTCTACTCAGTGATTTTCTATGTCTTCAGGATTCAGTGTTTGTAGTTTATATGTGTTTTTAAATCCATCTATTTCTTCTAGTTTTCTAATTTGTTAGCATATAGTTTTTCAAAATAGTCCTGAATGATCCTTTGCATTTCTGTGCTATCAGTTGTAATTTCTCCTTCTTCATCTATGATTTTATTTATTTGGATATTATTTCTTTCTTTATTAATCTAACGATAAAGATTTGTTGATTTTGTTTGTCTATTCCAATCAAAAACACAGTCCTTCACTTTATTGATCTTTCGCATTTTTATTAGTCTCTATTTCATTTATTTCTGCTTTGATATTTGTAATTTCTCTCTTCTATGTTGCGGTTTAGTTTGTTCTTGTTTTTCTAGTTTCTGGAGGTTTATGTTAGGTTATTTCTTTGAAGTCTCTTTTTATGTAAGCACATATTGTTATAAAACTCTCCTAGTGCTGATTTTGCTGTATCTTCTGAGGTTTAGTGTGTGGTGTTGCCATTTTATTTGTTTCTAGAAATTTATAAATCTTCCTTTTTCAATGACCCATTGTTGATTTGATATTATGTTGTTTAGCCTTCATGAATTAGTACAAAAAATTCTTTCATTATTGATTTCTAGTTTTACTCATTTGTGGTCAAAGAAGATATATTAAGTTGCCGAGATTTAGTTTGTGGCTTAATGGTCTGTCTTAGAAAGTGCTCCATATGCAGACAAGAGGGATGTATATTTTTTAACTGTTAGATGAAATATTCTGTAAATGTTTTGTTGTCAGTCCATTTGTTAATAGTATAGTTTAACTCTCATTCTTTTGATGAATCATTGTTTATATGGCCTGTTCATTAGTGAAAGAGGGGTCTTGAAATCCTCAGCTGTTATTATATTGCAGCCTATCTCTCCTTTAGCTCCAATGTTTGCCTTATGAACTTGGATGCTCTGGCATTAGATGCATATATATACATTTACAATTATTATATCCTCTTGATGTATTGATCCTTTGATCATTCTATAGTGCCCTTTCTCTCTTTTTACACTTTTTTCTTTGTCTATCTTATCTAAATATGGGTACTCCTGCTTGSTTCTGTTTCTGTTTTGTGGGATATCTTTCTCCACTCCTTAATTTTTAGTTTGTATATGTCTTTGTGAGTAAAGTGAGTTTCTTTGGGGCAGCATATTGTTGGGTCTTTTGTTTTAATTCATCCTGCCATTCCATAAGTTTTAATTGGGGACCTTAATCTGTTCATATGCAGGGTTACTATTGATATGTAAAGACTTATTCCTGTCATTTATCATTTTTATTCTTCTTATTTGCATATCCTTTGTCCTTTTCTTCTTAGTGTTATCTTTGTGGTTTGTGGTTTTGTGTATTGAAAAGCTTTGATTCTCTTGTCTGCTTTTGTGTTTTCTCTTTTGTGTGCCTGCTCTTTTGTATTGTTTTATCTTTTATCTTTATCTACTGAGAAATTTACTGTCCATCTAGTGGGGGGCGTTCCCTTAAATGTGACTTGGCACTTTACTCTTACTGTTTTTGTAATTCCTTTTTTGTCTTGGGTTTTTGAGAAAGTYTTAGTATATATGCTCAGATAAGACYATTTTTGGTCAACTCTATTTTGTGTCCTTTGAACTTCCTGGCCCTGGATATCCTTGTCTTTCCTGTGTTTTAATACTTTTTGTGTGACATCWTTGCATAGGATTTTTATGCCTTTTTCCTTCCCTTGGCCTTCTATAATCCTCAAAATTCAGATATTTGGCCTTTTCATAGTGTTCCATAAGTCTTAGAGGCTTTCTTCATTTCTAAGCATATTTATTTTCTTTTTCCCTTTGTCTGATCAAGTAATTTCAGAAGACTTGTTTTCAAGTTCAGAAATACTTTCTTCCACTCCATTTAGTCCTGTTGTTGAGGCTCTTGATTATGTTTTCTTTTATTTGCCTTATTGAGTTTTTTACTTTCCAGATTTTTGGGTTTCTTTATGATCTCTATCTCCTTTTAAAATTTCTCATTTATAACATAAATTGTGTTCCTGATTGTGTAATTCTCTTGATTCTCATTGAACTTCCTTAGGATTGTTCTTTTCAATTCTTTTTCAGGAATTTTGTCCATTTCCTTTTCTTTGGGGCCTGTTGCTAGAGTATTATTATGTTCCATTTCAYCTGATATTTCATAATTTTGTGTCCCTACTTTGATATTTGTTTATCTCATAGATCAGTTGTTTCTGCTTGTAAAAGGCCCTGGGTTCTACTCCTAGTAATGCAAAAAAAAAAAAAAAAGTCATAGTCTAATGTAAAGACCAGAGCAAGAACACACCCACACACCCATTAGTTGAACAGAACATCTTCAAATATTTCAAAAGTATTTTTGGATATTTTCAACAAATTTTGGAATTGTTCCAAAGGAACATGCAAATTCTCAGCCACAATCTGCAAGGATGCATCATCCCAAACCAAAAGGTCTCAATAGTAGTTGAAGCCTGCCTTCAGCTTYTCCACATCATTTGTCACTGGTGATGCCCTCCACAGGCAAGGTGGCCAATATTTTAGACTTCAATTCTTCTAGCCAGGTAAACTGCTTCAGAAAACACCGGTTTCTTAAAATAGCCCTATCAATAATCTTAAGCAGGGAAAGCATAAAATCACGGTGCTTTTGAACAAGCAGATCCTTTAGTAGCTTGTCTTTCAAGATCGGGAAATCATACTTAGAAGGATCACAGTTGGATATCAAAAATATTTGTGGTTTATCAATGTTATTACTCTTAAAATTAATCACACAGTCCTCTCGGATCTGCTGCAGGACTTTTTCTCTGTCAAAGGTAGTTGGCTTAGATATCTGTACATTTTTTAAATCACAGTCTACCTTGGTTCTCACAAAGTAAAAATCCTTCTTCTTAATTTTGATTGTCTTGACCAGGTCCAAATCATTTTTCTTGAAGCGTGTAGCAGAAACAATAATGAAGAAGTCATACTCCCTAAATTTTACATTCTCCAGATAATGTTTTGGCTGGAACTTMGTGATTCCAATCCCAGGMAGGTCCCAGATTATCACATTGGGAAAATCTGGGTGTATGTATGGAGTTCTCTTCATGGTCATCTCCACCACCCCAATAAGAGCTGCATCTTTTTCTTCATGACCAATCCCTCTCAGGGCATTGATGAAACTTGACTTCCCTGCCCCASACTCCCCTGTTACAGCAATGTTGAGTTGGGCATTACTATTTTTTTCCACTACACTGTTGATTGCAAAGGTTGCCTCCTCAATGTTTCCTTTTTTCAGTTGCAACTCTATCAAACTGATGGTTTCCTGAGAAATGATTTTGTTTTCTACCTCCAAGTTCTTCAAATGTGCAGTAAAGCTGGAGGCCAAATCATGGTGCTGATCATGAGCAGGAGTACCRGAGAACTGTTGACCCATGACTGTGTACAAAGTAAAGTAACTGAAAGAAAGAGGAAAGTTGAAAGGGTTACTATGCCAGAAGAATGTCTTTGAGCTTTGGTCTTACCCAAAGTGCTGCAGACTTTGCCATTTCYCTCAATTATGCCCTGAAACAGATCAATTTTTCATATCTTTCTGGTTTTTTCTTATTTGATCTCTTTACTATGGAAATATTTAAACTTAAAGTTAAGAAATATAATACMAAAAAAACTGCAAGTGTCTTTTAGAATCAATTTGCCAAAACAAGGCTAATCATCATTCATCTAATCCTACTAGAGGATGCAACCTAATCCAAGACATCACATCATTCCATGCATAAATACTTCAGTACATTTCTTCAAACTATAAAGAATTTTGATTATCAAATTTCATAACATTACYACACATTACCACATAATCATCATCAGAACACAACCAGTTTCAAATTCCTCAATAACCATGTAGAATTTTTTTAGTGTTTATTGTTTTACACCATTGACTTAAAATGTCAGTAAAGGCCAGATGCTATATTGGGTTGATATAATTGTAAAGTTGCATTGGTTTACTTTTCATGGGTCCTTYTCTTGTCTTTGTTCATGAATCATTATTAACTTGCAATAATATGAGGCTTCTTCATCCTTCAGGTCCAAGTTTAAGCCCATTAACTCAATGTTTCAGCATTTTGAGCTTTTATTTTAGTACCCTGTTTTCTTTTAAATGTCTTATTTTATAAAAGTAATTTAATTGTACAAAGTCTTTTTGGAAAATTAGAATTTGGGAAGAGCTTCAGAAAAACTCACAAGCTGCTATACTTTCTAACTTAATGATATGAAGGTCATTTCTTTCAACAAGTTTATTGAGATACCACTTGCATATAACAACTACATGTTAAGTTGTACAGYTTCATGTTCTGATATATGAATACATGATGACCTGATAATCACAGTCCACCTAGCACAGCCATCACCTCTATGTTGTNGTTAAATTGAATAAATAAGAGAAAATAATAGATCATATTGCCTCTAATTTTTTCTGAAAAATCTTTCTAAATAATAGCACTAGCTACCTGAAAGATACATACATACATGTATACATATTATTCATACATGTAAGCCCAGTAGAAATATATATATAGTCTACTGATATTAGTGTGACATTTTAGAAAAAGAAGAAAGCAAGATGGTTTTCCAAATAATATTTAGCTAGCTTAGGTTTGGCATCTTTACATTCTCTTCTCCCTAAAACTAAATCTTCTAAGACTTCCCATGTCAGCWCATGGACCCCCATCATTAATTAGGGAAACACATTGAAACCCTTCAGTAAATTTTCATCCTCATATTCCCTCTAATCCTCCATTAAATTTSTAAACAACCTTTTTGATTATTTCTCCAAGTTTATTCACTTAGATCATTCATCATAAAGCAGCCACGCGACCTGGTCCACGGCACTATCATTTCCAGCTTGGAATACGTCATTTGACACTTTACTATTTTTTATCCCCTTGTTCTTACCAGCAACATTTATTTTCAAACATAGCCRGAGTTATTCATTAAATGTATAARTTAGATCATGTCACTCCTCTCCTTAAAGCCACCACAGGGATTCTCATTTCACATACATAGCACACCTGCCRTACACACCATAGCTTTGAACTCTGGTACGACATCTGGGCCCCTTGTTTGCTGCATTCCAGCCACCCTGTCTTTCCTGGMCCATGTTTCTATCCCAGGACTTTTGCAGTGATTTACTGTTCYCATTTCCTAGATTGCTCTTCCCTTGTCTGTCCCATGGGTCATTAATCCTTCACCATCCTCTAAGCTCTTTTCAACTTATATGAGGTTTGTTGAATTTTATATTCTTATTGAGATCTGACCTTGCACCTGTCCCCATCATTCATCATTCTTTTTWATATATCCCTTTTCTCCATAACACACATCACCAAATGACTTGATATTTTTATGTACTTACTTAATTACAGTACAATTAAACRTCAGGGTGGCAAGATGTGTTTTTGCTTTGCTCACTCCTCCATCACCAATATCCACAGAAATATGATGACTTACTATTTATGGAATGAATAGACTAAATGAGGAAATCACTAAAATGCTCTCATGAACTGTTAGGCCTATTCTCTGGCTCTAACTGGTCCATGGCCATGAAGTTCCTATGGAGAGTGGGTGCCAGGCTTCTTAGGAGAACCAAACAACATCCTGCTACAAAACATGGCCTCTCCTTAGAATCAACAAGTACCATGCAAATGAGCCAACACATGGACAAAGAGAGTCAGTCCACAGGCACCCCCTCTACCCTCTCTGTTCTAMAGTGGGAAATGGATAAAGCTATACAGGAAATGAAAGCCACAGAACACTTCATTCTGATGGCAGACACAAGGTGCTTGTGTTTCAAAGGAAGGGCTGCCACACACCTGCCCAAAATCAACACTAAATGTTTGCTTAAAAACCAAAATAAGACAAAATGGGGAAAAAGCAGATACATGATATGCAAAACCTCTGTGGATGTTTTGAACCAAATTAAGTTTGGTTGGTGGCATCCACATGCATCTCAATGACTTCTGTGAAATCTCAAATGATGTCTAAAAAAAAAACTTTCCAGTGGCCAGAGGCCCACAAGTACATAAACATCAGGAGAGCATATGTGAAATATTACAAGAGGAAGAATAAGTGCTCACTGGGTCAGCCTTACAGTTAAATTAGGACATTGAGGCCTGGATATTGGGAACATGAATAAACAAGGAAGATGCTCCCTGGGAACTCTTCAATACAGAATGAGAGAACAGATCTTCAGGAGAAGGTACCAGGACACCATGACAGAACCAATGTTAAAGAACATGGTCAAGATAAAGACAGGAATGTGCCTCTGRCAATGGTTCCCTATCAGGATAATCTTGAACCCCTGGAGACACTTGGCAATCTATGTAGAAATCTCTGGTTGTCACAACTGGAAGGTGAAATGCTACTGACATCTCTTGCGCAGAGATCAGGGATGTAGCTTACTGCCCCACAACATACTCTGAAGTACTATCAGGCCCCAGATTTCCATATTGGGATGAGTGGAAATCCTTCCTTTCCTCCTTCAGGGACCTTATAGCATAGCACAGTCCTGGGGTGGGCTGTGCAGGGTTAGTCATGATTTAGGAAGAAATTACTTTCACATTTATRTGAAGTCTGGTCAGGGAACYCCTTAATAGTGGTGCCAATTTTTCTGCTTGAAACCAAGGAAAACACCCAGAAATGTGAAGGAATCTATCCAATCTGTTGGACTGTAGGGGTGGACAGTGATGCRAGGATCTACTGGGAACTGTGCAGACCTCACATGGCCAATCAGGGATTTTCTCCTCATACTAATCCCCAGAGAAGATTGGAAGAAAAGGAGGATAATAAAGAACATGATGAACCGCAGGGRCATCAAGCAAGCAGCCTTGCAACATGGCCCCTGAGTGGTGTTTGTGAAGCCCACTGAAAAGTATCCAGTGAGCTCTGCAACTCAGGGGTGGATGGGCCCACAGCCACCCTGRAGGCCATGGGAGCAGTCTCAGAGCATCTAGAAATAGCCAAACTGGARTGGGAAGAATCAGTTGCTGACTCATGAACAAAGCCCCAGGGTGAGGTCATTCTGACTGTTGACCAGAAAGATGGGGATAAAGAGAATAGAAGAAATGCTAAACCAGCAAGTAACAGAGAAAAAAAAAAGAACCATAGCCAGATTCACTAAGGAAGGAAACAAGAATCCTCTGGCATGTCCAGAAAGTCACTAAGAGCACATTGTGTTATGAGTAGACTTCATTATTTTTTCAGTCTTCCTCTCTTTTATCTTCTACCAATTCCCTGTTTCAATGACACTCCATAGTCTGCTTTAAATGTCTTGTCCACTATGAACACAAGGGACAAGGATTTGCACTATCAATCATTTTAAAGGATACATGTCTCAATGACATTATTTTGCCATTTTTTTCCTGACTTGCCTGACTTTTCTTCACAAGAGATCATTAGCTTTCCTACTCTACATTTTAAAAATGAAAGACTCCCTAGTCATAAATGTTCTACAGTTAGTTATAGCAGAGGTGGCATGCAGAGTTGCCCCTGCTCCAAGTCTAGCTTATGCTGCAATGGAAGGAATAAAAAGTGCTGAATTAGAGTTAATCATATAAGAACAGGGAATAAAAGAACTGAGACAGAACCAACCTCACATATTCTGTGGTGATATTCCCTAATATATTCTGACACATACATTTTCAACTATTCTAGAGGGAGGTGCTAGAGACAGAACAAGACTAATGAAAAAAAAACATTTCACCAAGTAAAAAAATATCCAAAACATTTGCTTTAAATTTGCCTGAACTTCAGTGATTAACTATAACTGTTCATTAGCCCATCCTACCTCCCTTCCATCAAGGCTCCTTAGCTTCCAAGTTGAGCATCTCATCCCTCCAGCCCGTGCTCCTAAATGTTTTGATAACCAAAATTTTCTTAGAGAAAAGAAATCTTTTGGGTCGGAAGTCACCTGAATGGCCTTGCTGGATTAGTAGAAAATCCTGTGTCTGGTTGATGGCTTACTGTTGTTTAAGGCTCTGTAGCTCTGATAGGCTCTTCTGAAATCTACCTCTTCTCAGTCTGTGCAAAGTAACACACACAAGGTGGCTGAACAGGGCTTATATACTCACTTGGCTTCTCTCCCTCCTTTCTGTGTGATGCTGACCAATCATGGAGGAATTTGGGGGAGTCCCATTTCTGAATCAACTGTATTTCCCAGAACACAAAAGTGAAACCCAAATTTGTCTTTCCAGGAATTCAGTCAGTTCTGAGAAGAGAAAGTTGAACRGTCTTGAGATCACAAGTAAGCTGTCAGAAATTTAAGGCTTGACAAGAGAGGAGAGCACAGAGAAGCAACTTAATAACAAGGCTAGAATACCTTCCATGGTCCCTGATCATTTTTTCTGATCCCTGACTCCACAAATGCAGCCTGAACTGAGAGTCACATCAGCTGTCTCACCAGAGACACCCCCCACTCCCAGCCTCTGTGACAGTAACCTTGTTCCTGATTAATGTGAGTTTATTTCACTCAGACCTCATCACTATTTTATAAACATTAAGGAGTGCTGTAAAATGGATGTGAGAGTTTGGGGTGAGGCAGTCAGAAGACAGAAAGGATGGTGTTGTGGTTTGGATGTGAGGTATCTCCCAAGAGCTCTTGGGTGAGAGTACAAARATACTCAGAGGTATAAGGATTATATTATGAGAGTTTGAACCTAATCAGTATTATTCCACTGATATGCATTAACTGGATGGTAGCTGTAGGCATGTAGGGTGTGGCTTGAGGAGTAAGTCACTGGAGATGTACCTTAGGGTTTGTATTTTGTCCTGGATGAGTGGAGCTATCTCTGTTTCCTGGTTGCCATGGCCTGAGCTGTTTTTCTCCTCTCTTCCATGATGTTCTGCCTCATCTTGGATCCAGAGCAAAGAACTCTACTGATCATGGACTGAGCCTCTGAAACTATGAACCAAAATAAACTTTCCCTCCCCTACATTATTTTCATCTAGTATTTTGGTTACAGTAATGAAGGAATGAATAAGCTGACTAAAATTGACAGGGAAGTCAGTATTGATTAAAGCATACAGCTCAGCCCATAGTGCACATGCAAACCCTCATTCCTAACAATGACCTTTGGTTTTCAGTAACTCCGGAGGGCATAGTGCTTTTCCACACATTTGCAGTTAAAGCAATTGAGACACTCTAACAACTAATTAAGTTATTTGCCCAAAATCAGACAGAAAAGAGATGGAAGACTTCTCAAACATTTTAAATTAAACCTTCTCGAAGACTTCTTAGACTTTCAAATCACTGTCATTTAGTCTACAGCTTATAGAGGATGTCTATTTATTAGACAACTATTTAAAATGGCCCACTTCAGACATTTTGTTTTAGTGRTGAAAAGTAAGTAATACAGTCATAAAGATGTTTCCCAAAAGGAGAGCAATGTAAACACAAACCAAGAGTTTTACCAAGGAGATAGAAAATATTTAAAAGTACCAAATACAAATCAAAGAGCTGAAGAACTCAAATATTCACCAGAAGGGATCAACAACAGGTGAGATCAACAGAAGATGGGATTAGGGAACTTGAAGATGGTTCATTGAAAGTCAAAAATCTGAGGGAAAGAAGAAAAGAAAATTAAAAAGAAAGAAGGGACTTGTGGAATATCATCAAGAAGAAGAAAAGATGTCTGACTGGAGTTCTAGACTAAGAGACACAGAAAGGGACCAAAAGTATTTTCAAAGAAATAATAGAAAACTTCCTGGTAAGACTGGGGAGGAAAACTGAAATTATGGTATGGAAAACTCAAAGGACACTCAACAGGAGAAATAATCTAATACTCATGATATGAAAATCCAATTTATCTTGAATATGAAGGTTAAAAGAAAAAATATTTAAAACAACTACAGCTCAAATAATGTGTTAAGGAATACAAATTATTAAAACATGTAAAATGTGATGTGGTCATTCTGGTTACTGATGTGGTCAATTAGTCACTTGGCTAGTCGTGGGGGGTAGAGATGCAGAGTCAACACACAGACACTAGGAGCTGGTGAGAAGCTGGCTGGTGACAACAGCAGTCGATGTCCAGCAGCCCATTTATCTTTGGAATGCATACAACCGCTATAGGGTTTGGGTGGGGCATGCCTGCCAATCATACATAAACAAGATAATATCCATAAGTCAATCATCTTATGCCTAATGTAACCACACTACGAGGAAGCTCTAAATATTGCTGTTGTGGTAGAAAGAAGTCTGGAAGGGTTTTTGTTCCTAGGGGAGGGGGCCTTCTTAAGTCAGGGATTTCATTCCCTGAAGCTCCTGGCTATCAGTTTCCTGGCCTGGTAGTTTGGCAATGCTAACCACAAGTGCTGAGGATGTGGTTTCACAAACAGCTTGCTAGAGTGGACCACCGCATCCTGCAGGAGTTCCTGTCAGGCCTGAATGAGTGTAGATTCTTCCAGCACTCCGAGTTGCTCATAGCTGCTAGCTGTAAACTGAAAGTTATTCCAACAATGTGACATGAAATGGGGAGTAATAAAAGATATGAAGATAATTAACAGGTGCTATGATAAGATGCCTAAAGATAACCACAAAGAAGGGATCCTTGACAGATACACAGAAGATTAAAAGAAAGGATTCAAAGCATATCACTGCAGAAAATCATTAAAAGGAAGACTGCTAGAAAGGAAACAAGGAATGAAGGACTTATGAATCAGCAGGAAAATGAATTTTCTTTCTTTTTTTTTGGTACAGAGGTTTGAACCCAGGCTTTACCACTGAGCCACATCCCCAGCCCTTTTTATTTTTATTTTGAGACAGACTTGCCAAGTTGCTTAGGCCTTGATAAATTGCTGAGGCCAGTCTCAAACTTGTAATCCTCCTGCCTCAGCCTCTAGAACAATTTTCTTATATGACAGTAGTAAATGCATAGTTATTAATAATAACTTTAAAACAGATTAAGTTCTTCAATCAAAACCATACAGTGTCTGAATGAGTATTTTTAAAAGACCCAATATTATGTTCCCTACAAGCAACTTGCTTCACATTGAAAGATATTTTCAGCGTATGGACACTGAAAACAAAGGGAGGAAAAGAAATTCCACACACATCAAACCAAAAGAGAGCAAAGGTAATTATATTTATATCAGAAAAAGAATGGCTATTAAGTCAAAAGCAGTTAAAACAAACAGGGTCATGATATAATGACAAAATGCTTAATTAATTAATAAAATAATAATTATAAACATATAGACATTTAACATCAGAGCACCAAAATATATAAAGAAAATAATAAAATATCTGAAGGAACAAATAGATATCAATACTCTACTTTCAGCAATGGGTAGTTCATCTAGATAGAAAATCAACAAAGAAACACTGAGCTTAAAGAACAYTTAGACCAAATGGACCTAACAGACATCCAGAATATTCTCTCTAATAGGCACAGAAACACACTTTCTTCTCAAGTGCATGAAGAACATTCTCCAGGATCATACATTAGATGAGAGAATATATMTTAGGTAATTTAAGAAGAATAGAATCATATCAAGTACCTTCCTGACTACAGTGAAAAGAAACTAGAAATGAAACAGAAGTAAATTTGGAACAGTCAGAAATATGCAAACATTAAGCAATATTCCTGAGCAACAATTGAACCCAAGCAAAAATATGGGGAAAAGAGTCAAAAATATATTGAGACTGGCAAAATTGGAAGCGCAATATAACTAAGGTTGTGGGATACAACTGTGATAGTAGGAGCAAATGTGACTCCATTTTGCTTTATGACTTCATCATAACARCCCTGCCAAGTAGAAGAGTCATGACTGGGGCAAAATATTCTTTTCCTTTTGCTATAGAAACCTTTAAGAACACAAAACTACCTAATGAGGTATTGTTTCTGTAACTAGGGTAATGGGGCTCTGTTTCTGTAACTGGGGTGACTTGGCTAACTGTGATTGGTTAGGTTTCCCTCTGCTTGATGGCCCTGTCCCGCTTCTTTAACCTGGCTTGCTTGCATTGGCTAGACCCCCCCACCCCCCC